TTCCAAAGCAGCCGTTCGCTAATGCTTGTGTCGCCAGTGCGATGTTCTTGTGTTCCGTGATCAATTTTCTGTATCCTTCCGTATAATCCCTCTTGGTATTAGGCACGTGATGGGTGTTGTCTGGGCTGCTGAGGAGAGGAGGTTACGGTATGATAGTATCACAAGCTCGGTGAGTTCACAGGCCTGCGAGGGATCTGGGTTTACCAAATAGGCTAATCACAGGGGGACATGGGGAAGGAGGATCTATACCTATAAGGAAAATAGACCTATGTCCTTACAGTTTTTTTTTGGTGGCATCATATCATACCATAGACTCCCGGGATGCTAAACTCCCGAAAGCTCCAGACAAAAGGGAAGAAAGGGGGGGAGCGATACAGCAGGAACTCGAATGAATAGGCCGTGTGCTAGGTAGTCCAGAATTTCCTCCTCTGGAAAAGGGACGAAATACACACCAAAAACATGGTCTCCGAGACGAATTAAGAAAAAAAGTACCAAACCTTCTTAAGAGAGGCAACCCCAACGCCCTAGCACATGGTCCGATTACTCGGGTTCTTATAGTGATTAAACCGTACCCTGTTGAACCGCAAGAAAGTCTAGGGAGAGTAAGCTAAAATTTAATGGATTCAATGCAATAGATACGCATAGTATCATACTGTACAGACTCTACCAACCCACCTTCTCTGACAACTCCCCCCCCCCTCAGTATCACAGGCCGATATGGAACGGGGAAGAGAGGATAGTGAGAAGGAGCACCGCCCATTCGACATTTTTCCGTGAACCAGGGTGCGGCAGGTTGCCCTGAACTTTATTCCAAACTGTGATCATACAACAAAGCGCTCGTTCTATCATACACCAAATCCCGAAGCGCAGCATTCAACATTTCCAGATATTTTTACCCCAATACTCACAAGTCCTTCTGATAGGCCGACCCGGGATTCCCTATAGGTTGGTTGGTTAACCCGGGCTACCCAAGAACCCAACTTTTAGAGGATTTTCGATCGCGATCTAGAATTGGCTGGAAGGGGTTGGGTTGGGCGCAGGTTAGGGATAATCATGGAGACGAGGGATGGACGGCGGAAACATGAACTAATATGGATGGAGCGGCAATCAGGGACGGAAGTCGAAGATCACACAACTCATGCGCTGCCAGGTTAGTAACGGAAGCCTTCTGCAGTAATATCTATCATAACATCGTTCAAGGCATTCTGTCAGACTTTCATTCGAGTCTGGAATCACGAGTAGTTCTTAGTGCTACTTCGAGTGATCACCTTTGATCACTCGAAAACAGACGACAGGACGTGATTATACCAGGATTTATTTATTTTGTTGCTCTCAAAAGCTGCGGTTAGGTTTTTATTTTTGTTCTATGCTAGGCCCTGGCTAGGGGTGATTCTTCTCGCTATTTTTCCTTCGTTTAAATTTTTTTTATCAAGATTTAATACGTATCCCGAATAATCTGTTTTTGCTATTCCGTCACGCGCTATCACCCATTGCTAGAGAAAGCTGCCGGTCCTCTGATACCAGATTTATCCAGCGATGAATTTTGGAATGCAACCCCCATCTTGGGAGGCTGTGAGTTCGGCTGTGTTCGGACATGGTGATGTTGGGAGGTAGGTTTTCACGGTTCTCTCTTGGTAGTGGGCATGTATTCACTATCTCGTTAGCTAGTGGTTAAGTCACTTTGCTATTCTCCCCCATTTCATGACTATAGAGCAAAATCCCTTTCACACCGCTTCAATTCATAGGAGTTAGGGGTCCCTCCAAATTCCCTACTTCGGCCTTGCAGATCTGGAAATGGACCCGCCGGCACTGGGCCGATCAAACTTCTTATCCCGAAATGCCTTTCAGTCTAAGAACCGTTCTTCCTATTGACATCTCCGGTCCCTCCACAAGCGCCGGGTCTCTCCCCCAGGCTTAGGAAAACGTCACGAGGTAGACTTTGGGTTGAACTAATGATCCAGGAGATACGATAGCGGTATACGGATTCATAACTTGGCCATTTTCCTGATAGTGGGGGTCCACTTTGGCAGCACGCTCAAAAAGACTCTCGCTCTCCTAGTGAGGTCATCAGTTTAAGTGAATTTGAATGAATGAGCGAGTGAGTGAAAATCGGAAAGTTCATTGCTGCCTATTTTCTAGCTTCCGCGTAGCTAGTATCACTCCTCACTAAGCCAAACGCTCGATCCAGGTGTAGAACAGCACTTCTAGGCATAGCTCAATGCCAATATTGTTGTCTGGCGGAGCGCTGTTCATCGAAATGTGGGCAATTTCTACTTCCACCACCTCATAAGATACGAGTTTATTATATCGGCCCCTCGTGAGTGGGGGGGGACTTGTCTTTTGGCGTTTCCCGGTTGCTTCATGGTGGTCTCCCGCGCAAATATTTCCAAGAGCAATTGATACAATTCTATAAAGTTCTCTTGTTGGGGGGAGGATTTTCCCGATACTTTAAGACCCCTCTGGTACCGGTGGTAGTTATTAGCCAATCCTCTTGCTAAAATATTGACCTGTACCAGTGTTGGCTACTTTGGTCAGCATCTAATTGTGTGTTGGGCACCGCGGTATGATAAGAAGGGTACTTTCAAGTGACCTGGAATGGGGAGGTTTAACTTGCCGAAAAGCCCAATATTTCCGGCGGATAGAGGGGCATCTCGCGGGCGCTTTAATTTTAGTATGATGTGATGGAAAAGGGATGGACTCCTGCCTGACCTGCTGGGCATCGCGAAACACCGTGTCGCGCTACAAGAAACAACGCCGGTATAAAAAACAAAAAGCATGACTCTCAAAGTAAACCTCTGTTCAGAGCAACATTCCGGGTTAGGTCTCAAAAACCGATAAAAGCTCTAGCCATTACTACGAGATCAAGCGGCGATTCTATCATCTATCATAAATGCTTTGCGTTGTGTTTAAAAAACATGAAATTCAGATTCTTTTCGACTTTCCCTCATTCCCCACGCGATTCCATGCCGCAACAATTTTTGGTTGATTGGGAGGGAGAGTGTGTGAATACGGCAAGTGTGCGTAGGGGGAAGAGGTTAGATAAAAGCATCTGCGGGTGGGAGAGGGAAATCGAGTAATGATGGTATATGTGCAAAGTTCTATTAAAAATTGAGTGGCGTCGAATGCGGGTTCGCTCGGTAGGTTGTCTTATAACCTTATCTATCATATCATACTACTTTTAGCTCATGACCCCTCTCAAAAAGTGGCTTCTGCACCCCGGGACCTTCCACTCCACGCTATATACCGGGTCATGGAGGCGTATAGCCCCACGATGCCCCACGATTCCTATCGGCCCTATCGGCGGTTACCCAGCCAGTGAAGGGGGCCCAATGAACCACCGGAAATAGATCAACCCGTGGAAGAAATAATCCAAACCCCGATGATGGGTGTCTTCGGTAAGGCTGATGGGCTGGGGATATCGTGTTACACTCCGGGGGCGCGACTTCCCCTGCACCTTGTAGTTTAGAATTGGAAGAAAAGGAAGATCCACAACGTTCGGCGTCTGTTCTGAATATAGCCTGACGCCGTGGTATCGCATAGCCTCGGTGGAACCTTGAATTTGTTCTCGAGAAGGGCTTCGTACGAGGGTGAGGTACACCGTTCAAGCGTTTCCTTCGATGGACCTTTTTTTCTTCTTTCGCCCCCAAAGAATCCATTTTAATCTCCCACTCTAAGAGCATCGATTCCTATGAGGATCTACCAAAATTTCATGCTGCGTTACTGAACCCGTAGATAACATGCGGTCAACTCTTCAGAAGGTGGATCTGCTGGGGGAATGTGCGTTAAGTGGGAGGTACATGGATGCCATGTACCTTTTTATATATGGGGCCCATAAAAAAGCCTAAATCATCTTCATACCGGTTGGTGCAATTGTGAATAATGTACGAGTACTCGATTTCTAACCTTCCCTATCCGTCCGTGCCCCTACCAGGCCGAGCGCGAAGTGACTTCCCAGCCGGTGCCAAAGCCCCAATTGCCTTTAGTAAGGAGGCGCTGGGGGACCCACCCCTCCGAAGATGTCCACATCTCCACAGATTCCGTGTGAAGACATGTGCCGGACGAAACGCTTTCGTGCATTCCATGTAATCCTTACGGCCAAGGCGAGGGAAGAGGCAGGGAACACCCGGTCTTTAAATAGATGTAAGCTTGTTTCGATCGTGGGCTAAGATTGATCACTATTCACGTCAATCAATGCACACTGATAGCGAGTGCAAATTGACTAATAGAAATTAAGCGGTGAGAGTTGCATCTTCGTTGAGAGGTGGGGAAATCTAATGGGGGGGAAGGAAGGAGCTAACCGGGCGAGTGAGATATCGTGCTTGGGTTCGCGAACATTTGTTACCCTTTCGGGGAAATTTTGGGGGTTGGATTCCAGAAAGCCACAGCCGGAGCGCAAATTGTGAGGATGTCAAACGGTTTCGAAAGTCTCCCGACCAGCAGTGTTTGCCGAGCGAGCTTGTAGGAGCTGCACAGAATACGAATATCTCCTATAGCCGCAACACTCAGATCCTCTCCCATCCACCCCCTTGCATTCCCAGTGCAAGGGTAGGCCGTGAGTTGATGGTACAGCAGCAGGACAACGCCCTATGACAAATAACACACAAATATGCTATTTGCATGAAGAGATATCTATTTGTTGCAGCGGAGGGGGAAAAAGTGTTCATAATATAATATAGTGAAAAAAACATCCGCCGGTCATGCCCATCGTGAAAAGCCTTAGTTAGCTCTAGCAAAAATTGCGGTAGGGTTTGCGTTGAAAAGGCGACCAGTTGCGTTTTCTGTTCTCATGCCTGGTCACATCGTCAACCACCCCCACTCCATCCCACCAATTTGTAATCTACCCTTGCAGGATACTCCAGGAGTTCGTCATATGATGCCCCCTCTCCGCCAAGGCCGCAAGTATTTCACAGATCTAAACATAATCCAGGCATAGCACATTATCTGCATGCCCAGCTTTCTGTGGATCCACAGAACGCCACATCAATGGCAACATAAAATCATTGTTAATATTAAAAATTACTGGACAAAAGCCCAATTCTTGTCTACGTCGTACGAGAACGCCTGGGGCCCACTTTAATTGGTATGGATATTTAGATGAAAGTGTGAGTAAGACCATACAAGCCCTAGGTGAAAATGGCATTATAAGGGAAAGATAATACGGTATAGTAGGGAAAAAACAGGAAAAAAAGAAAGAACGCAGCATACAATATTTATATCCACCCACCATTGCGCTCAATTTCCCGATAGTGCCATGCGACATCGATTGTAGAGTACTCCGAGGTGTACCCGCTTTCCCCGTCCGGGAGTGGGTCGTCGTCGCTGTTGTAGTAGACGTCGAATGGATTGAAATGTTCGCCATAGAAAGAGTGGGCTCTTCGGCCAAGAGGTACTTGCTTCGTGATCTCCGGCGGGTTTGGGCCTGAGGCGTTGACGTGATTGATTGGATTGGGTTCTCCTTCTTGGGGGATAGCATGAGAATCCACGGAAGGGCCTTTGGGCTTGTTGGCTTCCCAGTAGCTTCTGGCCTCGGGGCTAAACGGATCCGAGGATTTGAGTTTCCTCTCCCTGTACTTTAATTCATCCAGGAAGGACTTGTCTCTCTCCCGCTTGTCCTTCTTAATCTGTCGCTCAAGAGTGGTGAAGCTCGCCCTTTTAGTATTTCTGACAATTCTCCCGACCGTTTCCGAGCGTTCTCTGATCCTGTGAAGTGCATCTTTGCCATGGACCCTTATCCAGGCGTCCAGCCACGGGACCAACCTACCACCTCGATGCTTCCTCGAATAGATTGCGATCCTCACGGCCTCAAGACATACAATGTCACCCGCGATAGCCGCGAGAAGGCAGCCATCGCAATCGGTGTCCTGATACATGTCATCTCGAGGCGGGCTCGCCATATAAAGTTTTTCATAATCTCCCGGGGGAATCCAGTACGCCGATATAATTCTCAAGTTTGCGACGAGCTCTTGCGCATCTCTATTCTTCACGGGCACTAGGGTGTTGAGGTGCGTGCCCCACGCCTCATAGCGGATTTTGTAAAAGAGGGCTTCGAGGAGATCACCGTTGAGTGGTTCATGCACTTTGCACGCCCACCTATTGGCTATTCGTCCGCTCGTACTTCGCGATTGGAGGAGTCGCGGGGGCAGTGCCTTTATCAAGTCCTTTTCCCGACGCTGGAGGTCCTCGGGCAGCCCTTTTGGGTTACGGGCCTTGGACGCTAGTGTCTCTGGTGTCCGGAAAATGACGGCGGCGAAGAGTCGTTTCTCTGACTTGGTTGCTTCTGTTAGTACTCCTGGGAGGGGTATTGGTGATGGTGGTGATGAGGCTTGCGGCTGAGCCGAAGTCCTGCCACCCGTACTCTGGATGGAGGAGAGAGCCTTTGAGTGTTGCTGTTTACTCGTCATGGTGGGTAGGCAGGCGGGCGGGTACGGGGAAAGTGGGCGTCCTGTTTTTGCTTTGTTAGGCTTCTGTATTTAGGTTGTTGTTTTTTTTTTTTCTTTTCTTCCCCCTCTTCGATGGACATGCGCAGTGTGGTGATCTATCGGTAAAGAGGTAAGGAATGGTAAGGAAAGTTACGATTGTTCCAAGCATTATACTAGGCGGTGCGAAATCAAATTGCCAGTATCTAGAGTGTTCCAGTTTCATGCACGACCATGACGATTTGAAATAAGAAGGGAACGTACAGATAGTGAATCATGGAGATGAATTTTTTTTTTTTTTTTCAATAAACGTACACTATCGATGTGGTCAGTCGTTTCCAAGCTCCTCATGCTGCAGCACGGAATCAAGGCGGTGGGTTACTGGGGTGGTTTAGCACCAGGAACTTCCTCGTTAAATGGGAGTGGGCGTGGAAAACTCATTATGTTGTGCCACTGGTGATGTGCGCGGTCCAGCTAAGCCTTTGTACCAAAGTCCGGATTGGGCTAGGCTGTGCAGCACTGTCCACTAAAACACTTCCCAATGCAGTTAAGGTGTGGTATCCGAGATATTTATAGAAAGCCCAATTGACAGCAAAGAATGTGCAGCAGTAAGCCACGCCTGTTCTTACAGGCTTTCTTTTCTTAAACCTTCATTTTCTTTTTTGTTCGTTTACCACGGTGGTACATGACACCTATCGATCGTTCGTTCGCTCGTTGGTCTCCCCCGCTCCTAAGAAAATTCCCAGGATACGGTACGAATCCAGAGGTACGACAGTAAGAAAAAAATAAAAAATAATGGGAGTAAAAGAAACCCCCCGGAAATTGAATAAATGGAATAAAAAATGAAATAAAGGGTATAGAAAAATACAACAGCAACAACTCCAGTTCCTAACATCGGCCCAGGTTCGTTCCCTTCATCACACCGATCCCCATATATGCAACCCCAAAGAATTAACTGAACCTTGCCAATCTGAATGAATGAATGCCCGAGCGCAAAAAAGACCGTAAAGTTTTTTTTTTTAAAAAAAAAAAGAACCGAAAAAATACCGCCAATCCGTCATCCCTTCGTGAGAAAGAAATATGTATAAAATAATCGAAGGAAATAAAATAAGCAAAATATCACAGAATCTGCCGTCTCCCAAAGATTTCAGACTATCTCAACCGCGACAATTCGTTCCTCCTCTGTCAGTTCGCTGACCACTGATGCTGAATCGTCAAAGTTCTCTGTGAACCTTCCTGATGCAGTGGGCTGCGAATATAGCACCCTATTGCTCTGCTGGCTCAGTCTTAACGCCGCTTGCAGTGAAATATTGTCATCCTGCGGTCCCAATACGGGAGAGTCATGGGGGAAGACTACTATTTCCTGCGATACTGGTCTCTGCTGCGGCGTGACGACTGGCTCGAGGCGGTTGAGAGCTGTGCTACTGGCAGCACTTATGGGCCGGGGAGAATGTATCACATGGTGTACCGGTTCCGGTGATTGGAGTATTGGCTGTTCTGGTTGTTGTGGGGGATTGTTGATACCATAATGCTCATTCTAGAGAATATGTTAACGATGCTACAGGGATTGAGATTTCGAGATATCTAGAATGAATCTTTACATACCCATGTTGCATTATCGGTTGACCCAAAAACTGCTGCCTCGTAACTTGGAGGAGCCTTCTCCGCTTCGTCCTCACCATCTATAGGACTCCTTCTACGGCTCCTTCTTCTCTTCTTCCGCTTGAGACAGGCCAGTGCAATCAATGCTGCAACGGAAACCACTCCTAACGCAACTAAAATGCCAACCAACGTCCCAGTGCTAACTCTACTTGCTGGATTGACAGGGGTGCCCGACTCGGTGGCAGTAACTGCCGGAACTTCAGTAGGGGTAGCCAAAGTGCCTGCCGTGGTGGGCGTTATCTGAATTAGCGTCTCCTCGTGCGGTCTACTCCTACCATTTGGTGGTGATGTTTCCCCCGGATGCCAACCGCCCGGATCCTCCGTCTGTGTTGCCGGCGCTTCCCCCAGCACAGAAGCCTCTGCAGTGGGCGTTGGCTCTAAGTCCGATAGAACCGGCCCCCCGAACGCCGGCATAGTATCTCGATTATGGTATTCTCCCTTCTTCCTTTAGCAAAGAATAAAAGCGACCATAGGTGTCCGACAGCTACAGGTAGAGGAGGAGAGGAGAAGGGAAAATGGAAGCGAAGGTGAGCGTGGGTGGGGGGGTTGGGAACATATGTACTCGAGTACTCAAGCACCAGTAGTGAGTGACTCGCCATGCGCTATCATTTCACAGAAATCTCTCAGCCCCTCTTGCTGACCGGGCCCCGGTCTCCTACCGTATTGGAAAGGAATCTCTGCGAATCAGCGCCCCCCGAGGTTTTTTTCTGGTTGTGTGCGGAGGGACCACATGTGGTGTAACGTTGTCACCTCCATGGATTGAACCTAGCTCCACCCCGTCGCACTTTTTTTAAACAAGGGATCTTTCGGGTTGGAAGTGTCAGCAGAGATGTACGAGTACTCGTACAGTGTACTCGAGTACCGGCACGGTAACCGGTAATACTTGTAATAGTTAGTACCATACCAGTTATTTATTTTGGCTTATCTGGGATGGTTTGCAGTCCCGCCATCCATAAAGAGCTACTCCGCAGAGCACTGTAAAATCACAGCGCCTCATCATCACCAGAAAGCTATGAAAAGAAGGATCGTGATCACAACGCAAGTCACTTATTGGAGTCCCGAGCGAAACTTGGTGCGATGTGAAAGGCTGACTTTAGCGGTATACCGGCAAGACCCGTGATAGTGCGAAAAAGCAGGGCTTTGGTTTGTTGATACTTATAGTAACCGTCGCCACCAAAATCATACCGTACCGCAACAACTCTAACTTTCCCTCTCGGATGAGCATGAGCAATAGGCTCACTGTGCTCAAGTAAGGCTCCCCGATAAGTACCTGGACCCGGGGTTTATGCCATAAACTTCCTGAAGTGCAAGTTCACTTCCAACAATACTCCAATTGAACTGCTGAGTGCCTTTGCTGGCCGATAAGTGAGTATCATTTCTAATTCGTTGTGGTAGGGAATAATGTGATTTAAGTACCAAAATTCAGCACTTGGCTGGCGAGGTCACATCCGGGCGAGCCTTAGGCTTGCTTGGATTGAAATTTGTTGCGTCAAATGCAAATGGTCTTGCGTGTTTCAAGAGTCAACCGCTTTCTGAAATACGGTACTGTATTACACTAGTACTAGCAGACCACCATAACAACTTGCCCTACTATGAAGTATCATTTATCAGGCCAACTTAAGCCATAGTCGGTGCTATTCCCCACTCACACTTTTCGGTATGTAACAGCATACTAACCCATTACTCGAGCACCGGTACTAGAGTGGGACAACCCAGCCTTATGATATGGGGAAAGTGCACGCTGACAACTAGCGGGTGTCATGCCAAGCTGTGAATATATTGTTGGAGAGCCCTGTCCTAGTTGATAAGTACAGTACCCAGAAACAAGGGTCGTGAATCTGTATGGGCGCTTAGATCGCACTGGTTTTTTGCTATATATTCCGCGAATTTCTGTTTCCGGGTACTTATTGCCTGAGACAGGTATAGTAAATATCTGATCGCCCGGCCCGTCTCGGATGCCCACTGTGATGCAAGAATAGTCCAAAGCGACTGTTCACCTCGACCGATTCCGGAGAGGTACCGGTACCAATCTGGGATCCCGAGGTCTACTGAGCAGTGCACTTTCTTTTATTTAGAACGGTTGAAACTTCGATAACAGCTGGAAAGCACTGATGTCTAGTGTGATTCCAAAGGAGGGCAGATGATGTCCCAACCGACTTTATAGAAAAACTTTCCACCTCAGGAGACCTTCCACTCTTACCCCCCGTCAGCAAAACACACCGGGTCATCACTTCACCGACCCAACGGTGATTAACCCTCTCCTACCGTTATCATACAAGCAGTTCACCGTGAGGACTCGAATAAATGAATGCAGTGCTAGGAAGCTAGAGCTGCCTCTCCTGGTAAGGCCTACGGTAGTGATTCTTCCTCTCTGGTTTGTGTTGGAAAAGCAGGTTTTTTGGTGCGTATTTTTCCCTCCCTCCCCGCGCCCCACAAGGGTGATTTTTGGACCATCTAGCACATAATCCGCTTGCTCGAGCTCCAACAGTACAGTACCTCAACACTCGCTAAGAAACTAACGTTCTGGAGTAATCTCGCAATCAAAGCCTTTACCGATACTGTACTGCACAGAACCCGACTCCGCCCACTCCAAAAGCATAAAGCGCGGTTACAAGTTTCCGGGCCTTCAATATTTGATTTCCATAGTATTGATAGGCTCTGCCCCCGGGACCCCGCATTGTCCAAACGTGGTCTTGACAGGCACCGCAGGCGAAGCGCCAGAAGTTATTCGGAACACCTACCGAGAGCGATTTCGTTGGATCCCGTTGGGTGGGATCTTTGTAACCGATCGGAGGGTGTCACGGTTCAAGCCACTTGGAGAAAAAATTACAGACATTGCCTTGGGACGTAGTTTTGGTTGGGAATGCGAAGGCAAGCCTTGTTGTTATCGCCGGCAGGCGCAGTGGGCTGGCGGCGCTTCGGTGCTTTCGTAAAACGAGTTGTGGAGGGGCCAATATACCGGGATAACTTAGGGTACAGGTAGATCGCTCGGCTCCTATATTTTACACATATAGACTCCCGTCACATCGCGAAAGGCCGGGTTGGGAAAATCATGCTCTTGAAGCCAGCAGCCAGTGAAGTAGTTAATACAAGTAGCTTGTTATAGTCTCTAATGGTGAACGATTTGATAAAGCAACACTATTTTACTGTATCATAGCAACCGGGCTAGTGTCCGGTGTTACCCAGGGCAGAAAGCTAACTACGATACTTGTACCTCTCCACTTAGACACACCCCATAAATCAAGGAAGTTGAGGCCCCCGGTAATTCAGGCGCCTCCGGGGTACAGTACCACCCACGAACAATGCCGCAATAGCTACTCTCTGCTGTCTTTCATAAGGTCGCTTCTTGGCAGCTTGCCTCGAGTAAAACCGGGACCCACTGCAAGTTAATCTATGATACCGCCGTATGCTGTGATACCACGAGCTTACGCAAGGGAGGCATTTGTATACCCCACCCAACAGATAATCCACTCAAGCACTCGGACAGTTGCCCGCCGTCCCCACAACCTCTCCAGACGTTATCGCTAAGCTACCCGCACCCCATCCGCTAATTAAACGGGTGCTTCACTGTGATTCATCATCAATACCTGTGGCAGCGTATATCTACTATGATATATCGTCAAATGCCCGACCCGGCGGTAAAAACGCACATTTAGGCTCGCATTGCGCACCAGTACGGTACCCGCTCTATGCGACTTCCTTCTATCATTCGAGAAGTGAGCTCGAAGATGAGGAGTGATCCTTGGTTTAATTATATAACACAGCACAGACTGTCCTTAGGCTTTCGCTTTTGATACACCGGTGTCAAGTGGGCGCGGAGAAACAAGAGCGTCAGTCAGCGGTCCAAGATTCCCTCGTACCACGCGCGAGTGAAAAGGATGAAAGAGCGTGATTATTACGTGACGAACTATCCGCCCGGAATGCAGAATAATGATCTTCGAAATGTTATATTCTCGCCCATAGTGATACCGCGGAGTCGTGATTGCGTTCAGCATTTTACCCACCGCGGATCTCTTAGAGAACGGTTAAGTGAAGGCTCCAGGTTTAGCCGTTTACAGGGTTTGTTTCCATCTGGCAAGTTTATACTCTAAATCTCCGTGAGCCGAGCAAGCGGTTTTTTCCACAAAATACCTGAGCTTCACTTTAGTATTCCCAAAGTGTGGGTAGCCCTCCCTACTCGGCATAACAAAGGTGACTGGTAACTGGAGAGGGTAGTTAAGTGATCATCGGTGATCCTGTGGACCGCCTGACTAATACAAGTTAATACATCACGGGTCAGAAGACACATCGATATCAACACAAAACACAAAATTGTCAGGGCTGGAGAAAAAAAAATGACCAACCCTGGAATAAGCGTCAGTGGTCATTCGCCCGAAAACATAAAAACATACTGGCAGAATCGAGCTTATTATCTCTCCCGAGAACCGTTAAACTCTGACGATAATCCACCCCCCAATCAATCACCTCCTCCGAGTTACACATCATGCTGGGCCGGAGACGCTTTCCGTAGGGAAAGAGAATGTTTGACAATCCGTCAATCTCCCCATTTCTGGTGGAACCAGCCCATTAAGCAGTCACCCTACGTCTCGGTTTACGATAGTTTAGCTACCGATGAGGCTTAGAAGTAGGACAAAGTACTTGGGGGAAATTATCACGGGGCATGAATATTACCAGCAGTACTCTTCCGTTACATTCGTACGCCCACCAGAGCAAAAATCCCGAACCGCTGCCCAGCCGAGTAATCCATAGCTACTGTAGAAACCTGTCTTGTGCATAGATAATCCTCCATTGTCCATGATACTTATGTTCTACCTTGATTGTTCCTTTGAGCGCCGAGGGACCTTTCGTAGCGATCGTTAACTAGCGTTTATAATTTCCCCACTCTCAAGGATGTATTTGCTCTTGAGGCTTACAGTCATGTGGTGAGTAGGTGATTATATGTCGGAGTTTCCATCATTTCCCTATTCCGTTCCGTCGTCATTGGTAATCCATCCCGTGTCTGACACTATTTTCCATATCATGAAACAAAAAATTAAGGACCTCCCTTCTACACGCAGAAAGGCAAAGCCCTGTTCAGCACAGGATAGAAATGGCGTTTTTCTGAACCCTAGGGCGTATATGTTGCAAATAAGATATGATATCATACCTTTTGGGATTGAATGATCTTTTTCGGCTATAACTCAATAATAACTCTGTATCTGAGGAAAACAACAATGCATCATATAAACTTAGGGCCTGTTCGGTATGTCCATCATATTTATAGTGATCATAAAACCCGCAAACAGCATACACGTCAATAAAGAAAATATGATCATAATATTATCATAATATTATAGTTCCGAAAACATAAGGGTTCAGCATTATGATACCAGAATATTGAGTGCTGAGAAACTAATATAATAAAATCCTAGTTTCATTGAGAAACCCCCATTGTATGTACAGTACTACCCTTATAGTGACAGTCACATTCAATCTAATAATAACCAACTTGTGTTGTTGAAAAATATGCAACAAAAAAATATGTTGCGATAATAAAAATGTATCACAGCACATGCCGAACACCCCTTCGATAAATATAAAAGTTTTAGATGGAGAAATTTATGCCGTAAAAGTGGCGTACCGAACGGACACTTATCAATATTACCGTCAAGTTCTTGGACAATGATCAACGGTAGTTTTTGGTGATTCTCCTTTCCAGTGCGGGATATTGTAGGGAGGAGACGGGATTTTTTCAGCACGGTATTATGGTAGGGTGTGTAGTTGTGGATAGACGGAAAATACCAGAACTGAGAGAGCTTACGGTAACAGTGCTGATCCTGATGTAAGGCACATCAATTTCCTCCTGTTTTATAGAATTCTTTGTTTTTCCTGTTAGTAAATAAAGTTATATCATACTATGAATTAATAATAGGTTTTTTTTTGTAAAACACATTTTTTCCTTTCCACTCGTCCATGATAGCTTCCAAATGCCAATAAGGGTCCGGTTGCGTATGATATTGCTTGCTCCACAGATCATGAGATTTACGCTGGTCACGACAGCTCACTAAAATACTGTACAATGTGTGTCCCCGACGTATACCCATGCTGAGGAACATGCTTCTGCCCCATTTTCAATTTATTGTCCGTTTTCACTGTTACTGTTTCCCGCTCCTCCCTCAGCTCATGCGATCGCCAAATTCCCACCGCTTGTAGAGTACTTGTCCTTCCTCAACGAGCGTCCGGGAACAGGAGTTGCGAATTTGTATGAGCGGTCAGACAGACACTCCCGGCTCTCATTTGCCATATATTGAATCCCCGTTTCCGGGTACCCATTGTCTGGGACAAGTGCTCGAGTACAGTACCAGTAATCAGGACCGACGCCCTGAGAGAGGCTAGGACCCTCCGCCGCGAGCCCAATAAAGTATCACAACCTACCTTCCACGGGTTTTCCATAAACGCGCAAGACCAGTCCTTATATCAGCTGAGGAATGAGGTAAGGTTAGTACTTCAATTTCGATATAAGGTGATTTCTCATGCGCGTCGTGCGTAGTGGGGGCCCTCGGTTGCGAGTTTATTGGATTCCGATTGTGGGCAATTTTGATCTCTTCACGTGATCTGAGAGGGTATCGGAAAGCGGTTTCTTGCACGGGTACTCTTAGATAGGTGTAGTATTTTGAGGGTTTTGGAATCTCTGCAAATCGTCAAGAACTGTGCGTCGCGTCTGGAGTGAGTGATTTGTTTGGGCCTTCGGACACCGTACTGTACCGTACTGGGGCGGCTATGGAATCCTATAAAAATATTCAGCACCAACGAGAGGTTCCCGCCTTTGGTATTTTGGGAAAATGGCATGCCTTTTTCACGCTCCCTACAGACGAATCCTATCCAAGGACGCGTATAAGCGGTAATTGTAACTCTAGGTACTTTTCCGGGCGATAGGGATACCCCCCACCAGCCAATCTAGACCGAAGATCAGAGTGTGGCGCCAAAGCCTCACGAAACATCACCCGTCTAACAAATAGAATTTAAGCGATAAGCTTGAGTTTATCAGATTTATCCGAAGGAGATCAAGTCAAGTTGTAAACAGCAAGCAGAGGTGGCCACTATGAGGTACCCGAAATGGCAGGCGAGTGCTGCACGAGTACGAGTACAAGTACCGTCCTCGACTTCCCAAGTACTGCACTCGTACCCGGCAATTCATAAAGTATCCGGATGCCTTGGCGACAAGATGACTCCATTTATCCCTCATAGGCGAATCTTGGCGTCAAGGTATCCGGGTACTTTATGAATTGTCGGGTGCTGCTGCGTAGCCTCAACCTTTGGCGTCACTAAACAATCCAAATAATCACCAGACTCGGGTGGATGGTGCTCCTGATCGTGGAGCATTCTAGGGCGGAGAACGGATCCCGGAAGTGGGGTCTCTAGCGTAGGCCCTCAATATCTGAGAGGACTTGGTAAATCAACCTTACGATAAAGATACTCAGTGTAGAGGTACGAGTACTAGTACAGGTACAGGCAGAGTTCAGAGTGTTCGTGGGGGGAGCCGATTGCGGCAGGTGCGAATACTTGTACCCGTACAAGCACAACCGGCTCCGCTGGAAGCGTTCCGGCGGGCCAAATTTCAGGAACTTGTGGCGCCCCCACCCCACAGATTGTACCGCATAAGCGGTTCAGGGTAGGCCAAATTAATCCGTGCTGCTCCCTTGGTGGGCGTACCGGTATGGATGTTCTCATCGGCAGCTTGGGCACAGATGCAGAATGAAAAAGTTCAACAGGGTCGTTGCAATTAAACAAGAGACCAGGTGAGAAATGGTATACCGTGCCTGTAGTGCTTGCATCCCCCACCTGCCCTTCTCGAAAAGATTCGGAAATCTTGCCCCGGTTTAGGCCTTGGAAATGCCAAGATCTCCGGACCTTTTGAAAACGGCAATCTGTCGCTGAGCCCAAGAGATCGATGGGGTGAGGTCTCAGTTTGAAACTCTGGTAATTTGTTACTTGTACCACTTAAGGAAGGTTGCTTCCCGGATGTCCTGAGCAAGATCTTTTGGACTCTTCTGCACACGAAGGGCTACTTGTAATCACAGCCTTTCCCGAGTGCAGCAAGAGATAAGGAAGGAGCAGCTCTTCGCGAAAGGGGCTGAGGGTCACAAGTAAGATGTTCATTATTTCACAGTAATAATCGTATCAAGCACGAAGCGCTGGTTGCCCGCTGATATTTTGAAAGCTGTGAAGCAATTCTCTAGGATTTACCCATAGCTCTATTAACTTGCGGCGGCGCCAGTGTGCAATTGTAGGATTAGCCAGCTACAAAGTACCGGTAGTGGTTGCAGTATTTCCGGAAATATTGGTGACCGTACCCGAGTAGGGATAGGCTATTGTGGCTTGAAACTCTGTACCCGGATTTGTGTTTCACTAAGCGAGGAAAGCTTAAACCTCCGTCCACACGAGTACTCGAGTACTGTACTCGTACTATTCGAGCAGTGAGCCACAACATTAGAGCACCGGCAATCAGCGATCTCGCTTGTACTTGTACTAGTACCGTACTAGTAGTGTACTCGAGTAAGATGGTATGGTAGTATGATACTGTAGCTGAATTTGGCATAGTGACCGGGTTCTATTCTTTTTTCGCCACGCCACTTTGATTCTGCTTGTGTCCGAAATTTAGGACTGGAGCAGGCAGTTTGTGATTAGAGATTAGAGATCTCGTTCTTCAGCGCTTGTGTAGTGTCACATGCTGCAAGTAGGACACTCCCTGGACGGGAGGACAAGCAGATGCGCATAGCAGAAAGGCCTGGAGGTGCAAATGAGAGTGATATTTGATCACTGCTTAGCAGTTAGTGTAGAGGAACTCCACAGTTATTGGGGCTGGGAGAATCCCTCTGGTAATTGCGATTCTGCGACCATAATTTAGGACATAAGGTAGTGTAGCTTTCTAATGCGGGTAGCCACAATGTTCTCGGGTAGGTTTAGATTATTTATGGCACTAGGGAGGGGCGCTTCGCTTTGGTGGCTTGGAGGTCGCGGGGGAAGAGACCAGTAATAAACTGCCGAGAGCAATTATTTCAACTAACTTGATTGAGGTTGTTTGTACGGTTCGAATCTATTGCACGGGGCATTGTACGAGTACTAGTGCGGTCTCGACCATACGGTGGTGGGGTACGAGCTCAAGATTAGTTGGACCACCTTGACAAGAATAGTAAGGGCGCAAGTATTCCTAGATGTTTAACTCCTTCCAGATCAGTCTACACCAATTGATCGGGGCAATCCACCCCTCACTCGCCTACTGTTTGCCAGTATCCATATCCCAGGAATGCAATTATCCGGAGGGATTGAAACACCTTGACCCCATGGTCCGACCGCAACCAGACTTCGACTACCCACACTTTCAAGTTTCAATGGCCAACAGCTGATAAGGAGGAAGGGCAAACCTTTATTAAACAGTCTCCCCTCGCCCTTCTCCCTTCCCTTCTCTCCAGCTCAGTCTTTGCATTCACTTGTCGCTCTTTCTTCCTTTCCCGCCCTCGTTTCCTTTCTTGTTTTCAGGCTTGAAGCCCATATCAGTCCTTTCTCCTTACGACAATTTCTTTTTCTCCGGAAGAAATATTGACAAAGATGAAGTCGTCGTTTATCTTGTCCGTCCTTGGCGCTGCCACTGGTAGTTTGGCCCATGGATTGGTTTCTCAGTTGTTGATTGATGGAACTTTGTACGATAACTTCAACCCGTTTTTCGATGTCTACCAGAACCCCAAGCCTCAGAGGATTGGGTGGACCACTCCTAACAATGGCCCGGCTGAGGTGTGTTTAATAATTTCATGTGTGAATGGAATTGGAGATATTGACATTTGGTAATAGGACATCACCGCTGCCGGCATTGTTTGCGGCGTTGGCTCTACGGCTGGATCTTTGAGCGCCCCGGCTGCCTGCGGATCCTCTATCAAGTTCTTCTGGACCCCATGGCCCGACTCTCACCGCGGTCCTACCATGACCTATCTCGCCAAGTGCCCCGGCACCGACTGCACCACCGCAGACCCCACCACTCTCGACTGGTTTAAGATTGATCATGCAGGTCTTAATCCTGATGGAACTTGGATCTCAGACACCATCATCGCCGACAACAACACCCGGACCGTCACCATCCCCAGCGATATTGCTCCCGGCCCCTACCTGCTTCGCCATGAGCTTCTCGCTCTCCACTCAGCCTTCGATCCCAATGGCGCCCAATTCTACCCCATGTGTGCCAACCTGCAAATCAACGGGACCGGAAGCGCCGTACCAACAAACACCGTCAAGTTCCCGGGCGCTTACTCTCCTACCGACCCTGGCATCCTCATCAACATCCACTACCCGGCCGTCAAAAATTACACCATCCCTGGCCCTGCTCCCTATGTCCCGGGCGGTGCTTCAGCTCCGGTTTCCCCTTCTGCCGTCGTCCCCTCCTCGCCTACCACGGGCTTCACTGCCGCCGGATCCGGTATCCCAACCATCAAGCCTTCCGCTCTCCCTCCGTATGGCAACGGCACCAGCATCCGCAGTAAACCCCCCAAGAAAACCCAGAGTATCGATTCTCCTCTCAGCGAGGTTGCTCCTTTCGGCGGGGACCCCACTGCTCTCACTGATGTCTCGGCCGTCCCGACTGAAGTTGCTCCCACGGCCGTCCCCACTGAAGTTGTTTCCACTGTCATTCAAGTCGTTACTAAGACAGTGCCCGCCGTTGAGGCGGTTGAGACGGTCACTGTTACTATATCTCCCCCCGGTGGTCAACCTGCTTCTGAGTGTACGCCAGTTGGCAGATACAAGCGCGGTAATTATGGGTATGGAATCTAGGTGGGGTTGTATATATCGATTGTGAATTGGCTCGAGCGCCAAGTTTCTTGTGTGTGTATATATTTTCTTTTGCGTATATATCGCAGATGGCCACTGGTTGGGCTATAATTCTTAGAAATAGTATATAGTCAATGGAGAGAGTATCCTGTGACATTTTTATTGTCATTCCCTTTTTTTTTTTTTACTATTGTAACCTTGCTACTTGATTTTTTACCTTAGATCTAGTCTCGCTGGTGTGACTCCCTATTATTCCCCACCCGGACCCCGTACCGACTCGGGGAGATAATATAGTTGAAAGGGGTAAGGTGACCATTCTACTCATACATGAATGTCCGATCTCTGTAGGCTTGGCGTTTTTAAAATCTCCTGGGCGGGAGTTACATGCCAATATACTTGGGCTGCAGCAGTTCCCGCAAAACCCGGCGGGGGACCAAGATTATCAATTGCAATACAAGGGACGACTTGAATATGGGAATTCTTCTAGGAGAGACTGCTAGGCAAGTTGTGGAGCGATTGGGGAGCTCTATCTTAGAGATGTGGTTCATAACATGCGGGTCCACCCGCTGCGTAGGCCCCGTGCGGCATGGGCAGACGGTTGTAAATTTGCTCGGTTTCGATCCTAATAAGAAAGGTTGGTAAAGAATGAATCGTTGTATCTTATGGTGCTGAGGATTTGAAAGATCTGCGCATTAGCTGCAATGAAGTTGGCTTCGTGATGGGAGTGGGATGGGATATCTATTGATGAGATCGATAGAGGTTGGAAAGCGGTTAAAGATTATACGGCGATGTATTGAGTAGGATGGCAGAAGTAAATATCATGCATAATTTTTTTATTTCTTCAATCCCTTATTTCCCCTTCTTGCTTCTCCATTCTTGCCTCTATTTACTTACGTTTAAACTGTTCGTATTATAGAAAAAAAATCTCACCGAACGATCACTCGGACCTTTAATGTTAACTCACACTCGGCACCAAGGCGCGGAAATTCCAGAATACTTATTATCGAATGGTCAAGTGTAACCGCCGAACTACCCCATTGGAGATCCAGTATGATACGGCACCTGCATGCTTCCGCGCTCATAGCGGGGGATCCACAACTTGGCACCTCTGTTGAGCACCATCCGCATCCACTCACCGGTCATTGACACCCTATCGCCGCGGATCGAAGTACCATGGACCGGTGCTTGGCAGTGGGGAATTTAATCCTCCATTATAGGTTTTTGTCAGGGATCGCCCGGAACTCATATCAACCGGATCATAACTACCCGAACTCTGGGAGAAACTAGGAATAGCATGCTAGGGTTTCTATCGGTGCATGCTTTTCCGTCGGCAATCCAAGTCAATCTCTTCTAGAGGCTCATATTATCGCCCCACTCTCCGGTTCCTTCTTTTTCCCACGCTCCACAGATTTCTTCTCCCTGGGTTCTCGGCAGGTTTCTAATCTAAAGACTGGTCTGGTGAGAGCGCTGCCAAAGCAGAATGTCTACGCTCCACCCTAAGCCGCAGCCGTCTATCAGGCACATGGTCTAACAGCAACCACAACATCTCGAGAAACCGGACCCCCTGATAGCCCCCTCCAGGATACTCTGTTGTACAGGGCTTTCATCTCGAGTTCATGGCCACCCCAGCAGGAACAATTGTTAGGCATGCTCGCTCTGAAAACTGTTTAGTCCCTCGGGCTGATATAAACAACCTTTTCTAGCACATGTGTCCAAAGTATTTGAGTCGAGTATCCGAAAGATACCCCCAAAGTGCGTGGGGGCCACGAAAGCCTTTAACGGGAATATGCCACCCTCTCAAGGTAATCTATTATGAGAGCAGACCTCCCGGCACCAGAAACTGCCGGCGAGGGTCCATGTTCACATTGTGTCACTAGTCAAGTCTCTTACACTCGCTGTTGTCGGTCAAGGAAGGTAACTAAGAATGTGGAAACGAAGAGAAGTAAAGACTTGCGAAACAGAGAGGCTGTTGGAGATAAAGACAATGGCTTTTTAGGAATGCAATTGACTTAATTCTTGTTTATTTCTCCAGTGCCTGAGACCGCTATACTTATACCCATCAGTGGTTTCTATATACAGTGCTCCAAGTCCCAATTTGCCATACTCAACATGCTTCCGTCACATTGAAGTAACCATTTCGACACTCACACTCGCACCCTATGCACTACCGTATAAACTCGTGTTATCCGCCAGCCCCCCAACCTCCGTGCTCAGAAGCCAAAACTGTTAAGAATGATTAAGGTGTTTCCCTCACACGGCAACGCCCGAGCGTGCGGACTGCATTGGATCTCATTAACTTGTATTGGCAATTCTATCATCTTGTCAGAGTGGACATATCGTGCGCTGATGCTGGGATTGGCGGGGATTATATTTCTAGAGGAAATGGTGGATATTGCGGGTTTTTTACGGTATGATATCTGCAAAATCACCTGGTAATGCCGGACCAAACCGTACACCATAGTTCGAGACTCAAACCCTGACTAGCAGACTGAGCCGCACACCCGATACCGGATGGGCGGGGTAGTAGCATATAGAGATCAAGGGCGACGCTGCTGCTCTATGGATGACGGCACAATAGCTACCCGTAGCGACACGTCTCCCAATAGCGCATAATACCAAATAATCGCATAAACCATAGGTAGTTCAATAGTACCTATCGTGGCCTCCAGGGAATCCTCAGATAGCAGGGACGGTTGAGAGCCTAACTCCCCCACCTGAGGGTGGATGCAGCAGGCATTAAAGAGGGGAGGGAAAAGTAATCCATTATTAACTACCCTTTTGATAGAGGTCTTGTAGATTTTTGCTGTTCCTTTTTAATCGACTTTGTAGAAATAGTTTCAAGAACCCTGGTGGAGCAGCCGGCAGGAAGGTAGATAGGTAAGTCGAGAAAATTTTGGTAGCGCTGTCCCAAGCTATGCCGTTCGGCGCGGGTACCTTGATTTTTCCCCGGGATCGGCTTTCACCACACCTGCTGCTTGCCCAGGGTCGGTGTGGAATTTTTCTGGGCGGTGAATGGTCGGTTCACGTTCCCAGAGTTTCTGGTGAGTTCTTGTCATTAACGGAATACCTCAAAAACGTTTCTTTTTTTCCCCATGGCTCGCAGAGTTTCGTTTCGTTTCCAGAGATGTTAATGGGTCTGAATACATATATCTCCTGTTGTTTCCTTAATTGTCATCACCCAGTTTGCCATTTCTCGGGTTCGGTTGTACCCGGCCCACCTCCCATATCACTCGCACTACTCCCACTTTTACCACCGTTCTATACCTATGCGGAAGAGGAGTTGGCGGAGATGTGGGTTTCAACCGGGATCTGTGATGGACGCGATCATGATCGATCACTCTATACATACTCATGATGTCGGAGTGTTTTTAAAAAAGACTGGGTCCGCAGGAGGTTGCATGCGACCTACATATGAGCGTTAGCTAATAAGAGTGTGCAAAGTTCGCGATAGGTTCTTCAGCGGTTGTACCAAGGACAGGGAGTGTGAGAGCCATAACTTGGATGCTATGATGACTATCTAAGGAGAATATGAACATGAAGATTTGAAATTAAAATCATTACCACCCTCTCCTGCATTACAGGCTTCCGGGAGAAACGAAATAGGTGAAGATGAACCGTAGTATGATATAAACAACTTTTTGTTCGAGTGAGACTCCCTTTTTTAGCCAAAGCAACCCCTAACTTGTTCCTGCCTTGTCTTAAGGCTAATATTCAGGTCTCATGCAACCTCCTGCAACTTCCACAGACCCGGTCTTTTTGAGAAACCCTTCGACATCATGAGTATATGTCTTGGTGATCACGTGGCCTTATGTAGTAGTATAAGCACTGACGTTTTGACGTACGAGAGCAATTACACTCGAGAAAAATCGATTATAATCGACCGTGCTCGAGCAGCGGCCATAATCGATCACTCGATCAGGGTCCACCGATTTCACCGATTATTCAATCCCGGGGTCCTCTCGATCGGATCGCAACCGAGCAGAACCCTCATGATCTGCTCGGCTATGCCGGTTTCCATCGATGACTGGGATTTTGTTTCGCTTTTTTCCAAGCTATCTCTGCTGACAATTTGCAGCAGTGGGGGGAAGTGTTAGTTAGGGGTTACGGGTGTTTAGTTCGTGGGTTTGACGATCAAACTGTACCTTCATTTCATAAAACGTGACTGCTCTCTACACGAACCCAGACATCCAGGATGAGAATCCTTAGTCCGCCACACTGGGACGCAAGAGCATCGCCTAACATCACCAGACGGAGTCACTATTTCCCAGTTCCTCCATTGCTGCTTTCGGTTGTTGACCGGTGCACATGTTTCCACCACTCCAATCTTCAATCCAACGTCTTCCCGATCTACGAGTTCAACGCTAATACCGTATCAACTCGGGCCAAGAGCAATCTATCCCAGGAAGTCTGGGTTTCCTACCCTGTAATCTCTTGAAATCTACTATCTCCGACAGCCCTTTAATCTCCGGACTCTGAGTCAAAAAAGGCTAGGACTAGCGTTTTCCCCACACGGTATAAGATCTGCCCACCGGGAGTGTTTGGTCCCGTTAACAGGTATTCGCAATCTTGTTAACCCGTCGAGCTAAACCTATCGTGGACTGACGGGCCGATTTTTTTTCCGCTGATAATCTGGCGGTGGAATTTCGGGGGATTGTATGGGTATTTTGACGGGACGGGAGAAGATGCTGTGATAGCAAAATAGACTAACGGGTTACCTAGAAGGGAAACTTTGAAGTCTTGAGATGAATTGCTATTATCCGGGATAATACGGTGTTTAATACAGTCGAGATTGGGAGTACACTAGACATATTAGTAATTTCTCTTCCGGGCCTCTACTATATTATGGTCTAATATAGATTTTGCAATCCTTAGGTTACTCCACTTTCACTACAGGTACCTCGTATGCCGTTACTATTATCACAATCGAGATCGAGTCTAGGTTTAGCGCTCCTTCTGGTCAAAGTCCAATGCTCCTGCGAGGAGGAGGACCAGCACCCGGCCCA